AGGTACAGGTTCTCTAAAAATGGTCGGAACGGTTTGATCCTAGACCGGGTCAAGTTTTACACGAAAGGTAAATTCCTGCCCGAATATTTAAGATAGGGCATGCAATTTAAGATGTTTTAAATGCTAATTCAACATGAAGATGTCATTGTCAATAAGGCCTGTTGTGTAAAAGATCTAAAGCTGGTAACAAATATGTTGCCTGAAAATAGAAGACAATTGTTGGCCAGGGAGATGACGAGAGACTCGCAACAATGTTTGAATAAAAATTACATAAACAATTTTTGTTGCAAAGGCCAGGATATCTTATTTCCAACATTAAAGAACCTAATTTTCTAGCGTTTATCAACACTGCATCAGGCGAGACTCGGGTCTCGACTCCAGTACTTTTGCTCATTTTTTCATAGGATTATTGCTGAGCCGCCATTTATCCAGCTGTCAAAGCAAAAACAACAACATATCTGAATATTAGGTGAGTTAAGAGCGTTATAGCCCATTTTTTCAAATGCATCAGACGACTGAAAACACGGTTTAAGTTTCTTCTATCTGAGAACTCGAAGCATGATATCTGGCGTTTAATTGGCTCTTTGCTAGTTTTCCTTAGTTTCTCTAGAAGCTTAGCCTGCTACCAGGCTCACTTGTGCGACGTGGGGGAAACTTTTTTGGCAGCGGGGCCGCATCGCGCAAGGAGAACTCGGGGAAAAGTGCTCGCTGGATGACGGTCCGGCCGCCAGAAATTTTCCCGAGTTGGCATAAGTGAGCCTGCTCGTAGAGCTATTAACTTTAATGCTGTATTGTTGGAAACGGAAAATATTAAATGGATATAGCAATTAGCTTGACGTTTGATTGACATATAATTCAAATATCTTACCGCAGCATAATTATATTAGCCTTGAGCGTGGTGTTTTAGGTATGAATCGAAGTTCATCTTCGGTCATCTTCGGCGAACGAAGCCAAAAGATTCTGGGGTCATACAAGTTGAGTGAACACTTCTAGACTTTAAGATGCTATGAGAATCGGAGAAGCTTTTTAATTAGTTTGTATATTTTGTTTTACCAAGTCATATCACGTGATTTTCTGAAGGGATTCTTTTTATACAAATTAATACACCCGGGTGGATGGACTGGAACAGAACAACATTTGAAAGTCTGGGGTGCTTACCATTTACATAAACCAATCGGGTGGATATCTTGTTCATAAAAATTAAACTACAAAATTTAACTGTTTAATGTGATGGGAACGACCCATTATAAAAAAAATATATTCCTAAACAGACTAAAGAGAGTAGAAAAATCGCATCACCTCAAATCACAGCCCATATTT